TCTATGAATCTATGAATGTGGCCTACAGATGGTTCCCTCCCTCAGGAGAACGCCCTGCCGGCTAGCCTCTTTCCCTCTTTCTCCCGGCAGCAGCCCCACCAGGGGATGACAAGGGCTCACGAGGCTTCATACATCAGCTAGTGCTGATCCGAATGGTCCTCGTTTTCTCGCCCCGAATCCTTTGCCTCTTCTCTAGAACAATTTCTCTCTTGTGAAAACCGGAAGGGAGCAAAAGCCGTTTAGCACTGGCCAGTCAGGGAGGTGGTGTACAGTGTAACACTCCATGCCTGTCATACGTAGGCGAAGTCTGACTGATACGCAAGGCCGGGGCCCAGAATTCCAGAGCTCTATGGCCCCGATCCTGCAACAGCATCTGTGTGGACAGAGCCCTGTGCTCAAGGCATTGCATGACCCCAATCCTGTAATGAGGCTAACAGGTTCACATGCCTGGATCCCACATGCAGGATGGGGGCCTCTTGTCTTGTGACAGGGCCTAAATCACTGGTGTCTAGAAGTACCAGTGAGAGGCAAATGCAAATATTTTTTAATGAAAACAGATTACTGGGGGAACGCTCATTAACGAACGAGCTTCATAACCAATAAACCCTGATAATAAATTGCCCTCAAAGCTAATGAGTCAGAGGGTTTAGGAACTGTGATTATTTCTGATGATTCGGCTTTAATTAAAGAGGTAATGGAGTTGCTAGGATTTAATTGACTGAACCAGCAGAGAATTAATTAAGTTTTCAGGTAAATTCCAAAGCTTTATACTGTGGCCATGGGCCAATTCCAGCTGTAATCTTGGTGTGGGGCTGAAAATGTAAATGATAGGGCCCAGTCCTGGACCTAATAACATCAATAGTACCTGGCTCTTCTCGAACGCGTCACATCAGTAGAACTCAAAGCACTTTACAAAGGAGGTCTGGATCATTATCCCTATTCTACAGATGGGGAAACTGAGGCACAGAGGGGGGGAAGTGACTGTGGATTTGAAGGGGATTTCAATGCAAACCGTCTCTTCTGTGAGGAAGAGTCAGGCTAGCTGTAACCCCAACCACGTGAGGATTATGTGAGGCGAATGGGAAAGAACTGTGTGAGAAGTTGTTGCGACCTCGTGTTAGATAAGTATGGAATGTGGACTATAGTCTAAATAGAGGTGAGAAAAAAAAGATATCAGGATGACCTATGTATAAACAAAATGCAGCTGCTGCATTCTAGTTGGGAGGAGGGATAGCTCAGTGGTTTGAGCATTGGCCTGCTAAACCTAGGGTTGTGAGTTCAATCCTTGAGGGGGCCAATTAGGGATCTGGGGCAAAATCAGTACTTGGTCCTGCTAGTGAAGGCAGGGGGTTGGACTTGATGGCCTTTCAAGGTCCCTTCCAGTTCTAGGAGATAAATTAATGGAGATATCCTATTTATTTATTTATTGTCTGTAACAAAAGGTATAAATGCTTGTTGTAATTGTTTACCTGTGAGACACCTGTTTAGCTCTCTCCCTCCATGCAATTGCTAGAGATAATAAAGTATCTGCCTTGCTGCACCCAAACCTGAGAGTGAGAATTCTGTTTTTCTCCGACATGACTTACCCAAGGTCTCCCAGCAGGCCAGTGGCAGAGGTGGGAATAGAACCCAGAGGCCCTGAGGCCCTGTCCAGTGTTCTGACCACTAGGCGAGCTGCAGGATCTACATTTGCAGTATATGGCCCTGACTCAGGGAAGCCCTTAAACACAAAGTACGTGGTGAAGTCCCATCAACTTTAATGGGATTTAAGCATGTACTTAAAGTTATGCACATGCATAAGAGCCCCCGGAATCAGGGTCTCTCATTGTAACTGTATGTGTAGGGTATAAACACCCAGGAAGGCGAGGAGTTGTTTCAGGTGGTCACAGGGGCACAGTTAAGAGTAGTGGATGAAATTCAGCAGTGTCTAACAGTGGGAAGGGGGGCAAACCTATGGCTAAACGACACACCAGGGGAAATGCTGGAGGGAACAGCCTTGCCCTGGCTGAGGAGGATGGGTGGGGTGATCGAACAGAGCTTTCCCGTCTCTACTTCCAATGGTCCAATCAGTGACTTGAACCCTGTCTTTGCAAGAGGTAACAGATGCTTTCAGCTTAGGTAACATACTCAGGAAATGGAGACCAGCGACCAGCCTAGTCCAACCATTTAGCATTCCAGTCAGACCCGTGTATACTTGGGGACCCACCTAGTGTGTCTGTTAGTGGGTTAAAGGATAGTTTATTTAGCCACCCGAGTGCAGAGTGTCCAATCTATTGCTAGTCATGAAACCTGAGCATCATTTATGTTTTTTCATTCTAACACTAGGCGCATTGTCAGCAAAGGCTAACGGGGTCCTTGGGTTTCACTGCTAGCCTACGTATACTCTATTTATACATCAACCAATCCACAGATAACTCTGAATAACAGGCAGTTAATAAAGAGTCATAAAATGTGGATTCCAGCCTATTTTTTATGGAGCATTGATCAAAACAAACTTGTTTTTGCAGCCTCTTGGTTCTGTCTCGGAAACAAACTTCCAACCCCACGTTAGTCGGTTCAGAATGATGCTTTTGCAGAAAAACTTGAATTGAACAACGCCCTCCTCGTTCCAGAGCGGGAAGACTGCAAACACCCTCAGCTTCGGACAGAAATACCTGCTTTATCGTCCATTCGACAGCTGATGAGGTGCTATGGCAAAGTTGGAGATTTCGTGCGTCTCCCTTCCACCGTTTGTGAGTCCTGGCGAAGAGTGACCCGAAAGCAGATCTTGGCAGCTCAGAGCTCCACCTCCAACTGCTTATTCCTCACCTGAACTGACCATTCATATTTGTGACATCACAATCATCTCCAGCTAAGTGAGAAATCCCATGGGATCAAGGGGCTTTGTTCTATTACAATCAATGGAGTGACACTCATGAACCCCAGCTGAGGATCTGACCCAATGTCTTTAACTGAGGAATAAGCAGGGAGAGCAGATGAAATTGTAAGCAATAAAAAGGCATGCATGATGCCAATGAGGCAGCGGACCCAGAGGCTGGAGCAAGGAAGCAGGAGTCAGAAGACCTGGATTCTATTCCTTCCCACAGCAAGACAGTGGCTCACACTGATGATAAAAAATGGAACCTCCTTCTTCAGCAGATCTGCTCCCTGAGGGCGTCAGAGCCACAGCTGCTGGCTTTAGTAACAAACCCAAATTTTTACCCCATCCTTCCCTCTTAGCCTTGCTAAGCCAAAGCAGCCGTGGGAGAGGGAGCTGGATTCTGTTCCGGCTCACGCATCATCAGCAGAATTGCTAAGTCCCAGTGGCAAAATTTTTACCTTGAGGTGTAGACTTTAATTCCACCCTCACAAGACAAAGACATAATATCCCTCCATTGGTCCAGACACCTGCTGATCATACGTGAGCCACAGAGGACATGCCTTGATCATCAGAACACAGGCTGTTTGCAGGACTGGCAGTTAATGGGGAGGGGGGAGACTTTTTCACTTGTAGTCTGGGCAAATTTGATCTGGAGGGGCTGAGAGAGAACAGGTGTGGAACTCCCCAGTGCCTGTTTTAGAGTCACCATTCAGAGGAGATTTGTATCTTTCTCTCTCTGGGGCTTTGTTCCCAATTTTAATAATACAATTACCATATTACAATAATAACTACCTTTGCAAAACTCAGAGAGACGCACTGGACTAGGAATCATGAGACCTGGCTTTGTCACTGACCACAGGCAAATTGGTCCTCATTCTGCGCCTCAGTTTCCCTTCCCACTCTTTATCCATCTAGGGCCAGGTTTTTAAAGATATTGTGAGGTAAGCGCCTAAATATCTTTAAAAGTCTGTCCCATTGTCTATTTGGATCGTAAGGTCTTCAGAGCAAGAGCTCTCTCTCATTATGTGTACGTACAGCCCCTAGCACGATGCAGCTCTGCTCTGATCTCAGCTGGGAACTCTAGACACTACCGTAATACAAACAATAATAAACCTTAACTGCAAGAAACTGTGTAACGTGCAGAGTGTGATTATTAATTATCACTATTACAATTATATCTACTGATCCAAAACACAAACGAGGCAGGAGAAACACAGAGAATAGGCTCACTCTAGCTAGCTATCACTCAGCAGATCCACATTCACATGCTTTCCCGGGAGTTGTCAGGAAGCCTTTATGTTTTGGACGCCTGCCCCCTGCTCTGTGACTGTCCGAGCCCCTCACTGCGCAGTCAGTGCCAAGTAGCCAAGTCCCCAAAATTCTCTCACCTGATGTTTCCCAAAATGGCGATGATGAGCCCAAGAGCCAACCCATGCGCCAGGGCGGGCTGCAGCCTCCCCGTGCTGTCCACGTTCTCAATCACCGACGCGCACCCGATGAAGATGAACAACGCCGACCCCAGGAGCTCGGCCACGCAGGGCTGGGCATACAGCTCGAACCAGTGAGGCTGCGGCTGTTTGTACTTGCCGTCTATTTCCACCTCCTTTATGGACATGCCACCAAACTCCAGGTCAGACATCAGGGGAGCTGAAATGAAGCGAGCGGAGCTTTGATGGCATCCAGTGCCAGGCTGGGCACTGCCAGACAGCGGAGTAGACTCACCACAGAATTGACACCTCACATTAGTACATGCAATTCAGAACAATCCAGACACAAACACTATTGCTTAACTCCTTCGGGGACAGCATGCGCCGAAAGCAGGGAGCACTCTTCCAATTACCCCTTAAGTGCCTCAAGCGGGCTAGGCACTTCACACAGCATATAAGAGATACGGGCTGTTATGATCAGGTGCCAACAGGGGACCTTCTGGTGCCAAACCACTGAAAAGGGTTTGGAAGGCAGAAATTCTGTGTGGATTTTTTAAATGCCTTGGTTACACTGAGGTACTTACTTTCTGAGTGCTCTGTTCTTCTGGGAGCTGCAGAGCCCTCTTGACACCAGCAGGACCTCAGCGAGCAATGATCGCACTGCACCTAGAGGAATGGCTTATCTGTCTCATGGAAATATTGGAATGCTCCCTACTTGACCTGTACGGAGACACAGCGTATGGGAGGCTTTAAAAAAATATTGGAATGGATTTACATTGTTAAAAAAATGCAATAAAATCCGAGGCAGGTACTCCAGCCCACAGGAGTCTGAAAGCTATTTATGTTAATGGTTCTATGGTTCAAGGATTTGTTAAGGATTTCTGCCAAGTCGGGGACTATGGTTCCTTCCCCCGTGTGAAGTGCAGAGTACAATCCGCGTCAGTGCCAGTTGGAGGGACAATGGGCCTGACGCTCTGAGTGCCTTTTGCTGGGTTTTGTTCTCAGAGCGTAATGTGCCATTTGCACACCTGGTCTCGCTCCCTTTCCAAGAACAGGTGCGTGTGTGCGCGTGTGGGGGGCTTATTTGTCTGTAAAAGAGCAAGCAAGCAGAATAGTTATGACTGCAGCAGGCTCCGGGGAGAAGGAAAATAGCCTCCTCGTCCACAAACAGTCCAGCCTTGCGTTCTTTCCTCAGACAAAGCTCCCCGGCGGGTCTCCGGTGGAAGTTCTCCTTGAGCAAGTAGTTCCCAGATGAACCCGGACTGAACTGGAAAGAAAGGAGCTGTGTCACTAGCAAGGGTGGACTGAGACCCCGACTCATCTCACGGGCGGCTCACGGCTCTCCTTCATGACTTACGTGAAATTGAGCCAAACGAGACCATGCAAAGCTGGAGGCCAGGGGCGGTCGGGTGACACCAAGTTAAGGTGGGGACAGGCCTGACCAAAGCACCCAAGGCACAAACCTTGGCTTGGGAGCTGTTCCACGGTGAGGGGGAGAGAAGTCCTCGGGCACTGCCCAGCACATCAGCTTTGGGGGCAGTTTGCATGTTAGAGGCATTGTTCTTCGTTACGAGGGGCCGCACACAGCGTTGCTGCTATAGGTTCACCCCATTGCACACCCCAAGGGCCCCCTGCTTCCGCACCCCACCAGTTCCCAGGTGCCGCCTTCCTCTATTTCAGGGACTGTCTGCAACACCTTCCCTCTCCCTCATGCCAGAGTCTGTGTGTCCCCCTTTCTCTCCTCCCCCGATGCCAGGGACTGTGCCCCCCATTATCCCTTCCCCCCATACCAGAGAAACCCATTCTCCCCACCGTCCCATGGGCTCTATGTGCCCCTCCATGCCCTCCTTGCCCCCATAACTTGAATCCCTCTCCACCCCGCACCAGGGTCTCTGTGTACCTCTCCTTTCTTCCCCTGGATTGGAGGGTTATGGGCAGATGGCTGGTGCCCCCTCTCTCCCGCTCATCATAGGGGCACGCTGTGGGGTGGCAGTGGGCTAGGGGGGGAAGGAATGAGACCTCCATCTCTCTCCTCTCCCTCTAGCTCCCCTTGCTGGCTGAGCATCTGCCCCACAGCTGTTAGATGGCAGGGGCTCCCCGTGTCCCCCATTCGCCCTTTCAGTTTTCCAATATTCCCCCCAATCAACAGTGCTCTGATCTCTGGGGTCGAGATCATTCCTTGGAAGTTGGGAACTGATTGTCTGCAGCGTTCAAAAGTTATTGTGTTAGACAGACAGACACACATGTGGGGGTTTGCAAACTCGGCCAATTCTGGTCGTACCTAGAGGGGCCAACCAAGAGCAGAGCCCCGATGCGGTTGGTGCTGTCCGCCCACACAGTGCGACAGGCCCCATCTTGAAGGGCTTACAGTCTAAGCAGACAAGACAGACAGAGTTTGAGAGCGAGGGAGTGCTGCTAGCCCCATTCGACAGATGGGATCAGCGAGGCAAAGAGAGAGAGTAAGTGACATGGCCAGGATCACACTGGCAGTCTGTGGCAGAGCCAGAAATGGATCCCGATCTCCTGAGCCCCAGCCCAGTGCTTACCCCAACCCGATCCTCCTCCTCTTTGACCAACCTTCCCCTTTTTTTGCGACCATCATTTAAAACTCTTTCTCAGCCCCTGTCCAGCAGGAGCAAAGGGAAGTCCACACTGCTGGGGGGTTAGACTCAAGCGCATTCCCAGGCACGAGGGCTTGAGCACTCTCAGCTCCGTGGACGCGCTGTCGTCCCTGTGATGCTGGAGATCACACCAAGGCCGGGAGGGAACCGGACCCACCCTGCCTTCCTTCTCCTCCCTGGCAGACAAATACACTCCCTTCAGCGTGAGCGGCTGCTTGGGCTTTCAGGCGAAGCGTCGTGCAGCTGGGAAGAGCCTTTGGTATAAGCAGCGCTCAGTCCCGCTCTCATTTGGCTGCTGCCAGCTGAATTCCTGCAGGCGGGCAGGGAGCACCAGCGTCCCCAGTGAAACCGAGAGAATAAATCACCACTCCAGGTCGCAGCACGAGAGCAAGATCAAAGTGAAAACCAGATGGCGTGTTTGCCATGTTCCTTGGTTCGGAGAGACCCCAAGTAACAAGTTACTTATTACTGCACTCCTGCTCCCGGCCAAAGGGAGCGGAACAGCCTGGCTGCAGGCCCCCGAGCAGCAGAAAAGCTGTTGCTCTAACTCACTGAGCCATTAGCCCTTCTGCCTCCTGAGACGTTTTTCAAGAGAAAAATAGTAAAGCGCATAAACATGCTCTGCTGTCGTTACGCCGGCTGTTGCTTCCCGCCACAGAGGCAGCTGCATTTTGTGGCAAGTGAAACGAAGCCAGCATGCATGGTTTCTAATCCTTTCTTGTGGAGGGGTGTGGGAGGGGGTTCTGTAAAAAGCTGGAGAGCAGCTCTCTCTCCCCAGAGCCATGCAGACCAGGCAGTAGCAACAAGGGCTTTCTCCAGCCCAGCACTGCCCCACCAACAGGCCTCCATGCCGATCTGAAGGGAGCTAGCGATGAGACCGAAGTTTGGTCTCCATGGACTGTTAGCTCCTTGGCTAGCTGTGGGGCCCATGGAACCTGGCCAGTTAGTACCACTGGGGTGGGTTGTGGGGATGGGAAGCAGGCACAGCTTCACTAGCAGCTGGCCACCAAGCTAGTGGGGAATTCTGTAAAGCGCTCGGCAAATCAATACAAAATTCCCAGGGTGGCTGGAGGGCAGCATGGGGGCCACTCCCACTCCTTCCTGCAGGCCAAGCACAAATCCTCAGGCTGCAAGTGAAACAGGATCCCTGCACTTCTCCAGCCCCCATCACCACAGCACCTCACAATCACCAACAAATTTTATTCTCAAACACCCCGGTGAGGACAGGAATCCTTATCCTCCTTCTCCAGCCAGGGAACTGACGCTCAAGGTAGATGAAGTGACTTGGCTACAAAGTCCGTGTCTGAGCCAGGAATGAAAGCCAGATCTCCTCGGTCCCAGCCAGCGCCCCGTTCACTAGATCATCCTTCCTACTCTAGCATCACCATCACTAGCCCTTCCACCAGGTCGCAACCCAGAGGGCAGGTCACCCGAAAAGGCAGGTGGGGACAGAGAACTAGATACAGCCCCTGATGGAAACAGAAATATTGGGGCCTTTCACCCGGGCAGAGGCTCTTGGTGCTACTCTGATGTGCAGGCAAAGAGACAGCTGTCCTGACAGGGGCGTTACCAGGCCACAGCCCTTGCGCCTGAGAGAGGAGCAGGCTCTGAGCAGTGCAGCTGGCGTGGCTCCCAGGAAGAGTGCCTCTCCCCTGAGCCAGGGCATTGAACGCCAGCCCAGAAACGTGAGCGCCTCAGCATGTCACCACCTTGAGCAAGAGTAGGTGAGGTTTTATTTTTGTCGTGGGTAATTAAGGAGTCTGGTTTATGGGGATTGTTTCTCTATTCACTAAAGGCAAAGAATCCTGGGGATGTTTTTATGATGTTTTCCCAAGGCTTTGGGGATGGGAAGGAAATTTCCATTTGCCTGTCTCAGCAAGGACGGTCCCAGGCTGCATGCCACAGGGGGGCCAGCACAGCAATGACGGAGGGAATCCAACTTGCCCGCTTTTAAAGAAGAATCTGACTGTTCAGGCCCTCTCTCCACAGACTCCATTCCAAAGACCGGGGATAAAAGTCTTCTCAGCGCTGGGCTATCAAACCCTGATTCAGCCAATTAATCTCCAGGACCTTAGCTCTCCAGCAGTGCCCTGCACAGACCAATTCAAACCAATTCACTTAGAAAAACACCCACTTGGTCTCATCTTATAAACCACCACAATGCAGCACATATAACCAGGACTAGAACCTCCTGGGGTTCCTGAGCTATCAACTCCTCCCGGATTGTCGTGACTCCCCAGGGAGGGCCCTGCTACTCCTTCATTATTGATTAATTAAGCAACCCTAGATAAGCCTTGCCAGCTGCGAGAGCCCTCCTCTTAAAGGAATCCAACCCTGATTTCTTGGTTAGGGTCATTATTGTAAGGGACAGGAGCAGTTAAGGTGCAAAACAAAACAGCGATGTCCCGAGTCAGCTGGCACTTGCATGGGTCATCCAGGAATAACTCCACTGAATCAATGGAGTTGCACCAACACGGGGCCGGAGCAAGCAAGAGAAGGATCAGACTCTCGGAATTTTTTCCAAGGAAGCAATGGCTTCAGACCACGGAATGGCCACAATTCAAACTGTAGCATTAGCCCAGAGTCCGTGGCTTTTTAAATATTTACCATACTTGTTTGGGGAAGAGTGAGGTTCTTTTAATAAATAATACATGGAGATATGCCTATCTCCTAGAACTGGAAGGGACCCTAAAAGGTCATCAAGTCCAGCCCCCTGCCTTCACTAGCAGGACCAAGTACTGATTTTGCCCCAGATCCCTAAGTGGCCCCCTCAAGGATTGAACTGACAACCGTGGGTTTAGCAGGCCAATGCTCAAACCACTGAGCTATCCCTGCTGCAAGAGACCCTCTATCTTCCAACAATGTAGAGGTTAGTTATTGCTAAGCAGAGGCCTGGAAATGAAGCTTCAACAAACAAGACAGGTGCAGGAGAGAGGAGTCTCTTGTAGTGATGGGGAACCACACACCGTTTGCAGCCAGGTCATGTAAGCAGCTTGGCTCCAAATGACAGGTTTCAGAGTAGCAGCCGTGTTAGTCTGTATCCTCAAAAAGAACAGGAGTACTTGTGGCACCTTAGAGACTAACAAATTTATTAGAGCATAAGCTTTCGTGGACTACAACCCACTTCTTCGGATGCATATAGAGTGAAACATATATTGAGGAGAAATATATACACACATACAGAGAGCATGAACAGGTGGGAGTTGTCTTACCAACTCTGAGAGGCCAATTAAGTAAGAGAAAAAAAACTTTTGAAGTGATAATCAAGATAGCTCAGTACAGACAGTTTGATAAGAAGCAAGTGTGAGAATACTTAACGAAGGGGAGATAGATTCAATGGGAGAAGGGTATTGGAGAAGGGAGGAATAGGGGGAATG